GGAGGAGGAGGAGGAGGAGGAGGAGGAGGAGGAGGTACCATTGACCAGAAACTGAACTGGACCAGCACTTCAAAGCCTGCCTAATGTTTACAAAGCATGAGTAAGGAGAGCAGTGCAATAATCTCCACTTGCCCAGATGAGTGCAGCTTCCAGAACAAAGAAGTCTATAAGATTTACACCTCAATTAACACCTTCAACATGCAGTCCCTTCACCATTGTCGCATTGTGGTAGTCATGTGTATTGTCAACAAGATGCAATGCAATAAAACTTGCTAAAGCTTTGAGGTAATACCTTTCAAACGCGTGAATAAAAGAACTCTCAGACCTACTATCGCATCACATGGTTTGCTTTCAGCACAGACTATCCATTCTTTGCTACTCTCAGCTCTCATTATCACTTATTCAGCTTCTCTCCTGTTCTAGCCTGCCATCCATAGTCCACTAATTTACCTACTGCTTTCATACCTCTCTCTCTTCCACCCCTCCACTGTGGGCGTCTGCTCAAAATCTACCCCCAAGTCTTCAGTATAAATGCAAGCTTTTCCTAGCTGCCATCAATTTTGATGAGTCACCTGACTCAAAACATTAACTCTGCTTTCTTCCAGACCTACTGAGTTTCACCAATTTCTGTTTTTCCTTTCAAACTCATTACCTCTACGATCTAGAAGAGTAAGGACAGCAAATACACGGGCACACCATTGCCTGCAAGTTCACCCCCAAACCACACCTTAACCTGACTTAGAATCATAATCGTTATTCCTTAACTGTCACAGAGTTAGCATCCTTCCGAACAGCACTGTGTTCAAGAGGTGATGGTGGCAGCTGCCTTCAGGGATTTAGGGACCGGCAATACAAACACCTGCCTTGCAGTAATGCCTACATCCCAATGAAAAAAAGTTATAAGTAAGAAAACTCAACAGAGCATTTGATAAATTGCATATAAACCAACTGGCTCAAAATTGAAATGGAAAAAAAGATGAAGGCTGCCAGAGGTGCACCACAAGGTAGTGATTGGCAGAGAAATGGAGCACTGATGACCTATTGAATGGTAGAGCAAACTAGTGGGGTTGAATGGGCTGGTCTTGTCCTTATTTCTTATTGTCCTTCTGTACCTTTAGGAGTCTTAATCCACAGATTTGTTTATTTTTGTGTAATATTTTCTACTTACAATAGTTCTGCAAAATTATTAGCCTTACCCATCCCATTTGTGAATAAATGTGTGCATGTTTGTATTTACAAGGGGGCGCAGTTTGAGTTTATTAATATTTATTAATTATTAATAATCCATTGTTGGAGGATCCTTAAAAGGAAATGTTTGTTGTAGTTAGTTTTTAATTTTCTTATTGATGAAAGCTAGTGGTCAAAGTTAGACAAATTCACTACCCGAGTGATTAGACTGGTCATTTAAACATTTGAGACAACTTTTGGAATAGTA